TGTTTCAATCAAGGGGGAGGGTTTGAGGGGGATTCCTGGCAATTTACCTTTTACTGTAATAAGTATTTTTAAGAAATTGGCTATATATTTTTTAACACATCTCATGCACTAGATGCACATCTGGTTCAAGGATATCCGATAGCCATGCTGCTGATGTGCACCCTAATCTGTTAGGTCATCTCACCCAGGCCTGTGCGATGAGCTAGATGGTGGAGGCCCTGTGCCTGTTTTCTCGTGATTCTGCATATTCAAGCGCTTTCCGAGCAAAGAAAGAAATTTGGTGTTTGCCTGTCACTACAAGTGCGTGGTAGTAGGTGTGAAACGGTTTCCGAAGGGATAATGTCTGCCAGTGTGTGGGAATACACTAAGTGGCTTTTGTGGTTGAGAAGAAAATTCCTCTTTTGAAAATCTAGTGATACCAGCAGCTTTTTAAGTGTCCAGTTACCAACAGCTGAGCAGCACTGCTGGTTTGTGAATCGATGATTCATTGCATCGGAATCTGTTTGGTCCCCAGAGAAAGAAACCTGAGGAGCTCAGTATTTGCTGGTCACACGCCCCTTAGAACCTTCTGGTGGGGACTCTGAAGGAACTCACTAGGCTCTCCTGCACTTTTAAAATTAATCCACCTATTTTAAAAATGATACCTTTATGAAACCAATAAAATACAAACCTAGGCAGGAGCGAATAGAACCTGCAATAAGAAAAAAACTGAAAGTTAAAAAATTTTAAATTCAAATTGGTCTTATATATTTTTTAGGTTTTTGGTGTTTATACTTTTTCCCTGCCTTTAGATGGTAATTTGCTTTGTAGGGCTATTTAAAATTTTTCATCTCCTGGGAAGATGATACATAAACTCCACTGTGGATGCAAATATATCACTCATGGATGTTTAAAAAAAAAACCTTTGAGAGCCCACTATTTTGTTGGAAGTGAAATACCTGTTGCACAAGGCTTTTACTGTCTATTACCTGTCAAGACCCCCAGGGGGCAGGGAAGACCTGTCCAGGAGGGCCTGGGCAGCTGGGCATTACTGTCCCATAGAGAGGTGTTGGCTAGTGGCTTAGGGTTTGCTTTCCCTGGTGGTGCAGTTCTGTTACAGAACTTGGGAAGCAGGGAGAGATATCTCCTCACAAGAAAATTTGCAAAGAAAAGAGAAACACGTTAAAGGTGTTGTGTTTACAGTTAGTACTGTTTACAGCCTTAACAGAGAATAAGAAACAATTGAATTCTGTTTTCTACATTAATGATTCTTACATGTTTTGGGGCTCAGAACTACTTAACACTCACAAAAAGCACTGAGCCCTGGAAGAGGCTTGGGTCTCTGTGGGCCGTAGGTATTGATATTTGCTACAGGAAATAGTTAGACTGTGAAATAAAGGCTTGCGTCTTTTAAACTCACCCCAGTAAGCGCATTACGTTAGTATGTTTGAATTGTTTTATGAAAAATAAAAATACAAAATGGAAAATGGAAAATGACACTGCATTACACACTTGCAGTTCTCTTCAGTATTTTAAAAACGAGTAGATGCTCATCTCCATCTCCATCCAATTTGTAAATTGCTGCTTTGATGGACCCTTTGTCGGCCTGCAATCCTGCCAGGTAACACTGGTTATCTGAGAAAGGTTCGCCTCCTGAGTTGCAGATCCTCCCGATGTGAAGCGCTTCACCCTGAAGCGTCACGGCCCAACCTGTTCATCTCAAAGGCCTTCAAGTCCTGGGTGCTTGCTAGCTTGGGCGGGTGGGTCCATCCCTTAAATTTCATGTGACGGCTTGAGTTTCCTCACTGGCCACAGATGCTGCCATGTCCTCTGGGGAGTGACAGATTTGCTTCATTCCCTTTCAGAAAATACCCACCACAGATCCAACTCTGAATACCCAGTGTTTGCCCACGAGTCTCCTTGTGAGGAAAGGGAGCTCCTGAGCAACACTCTTGCCTCAGCTTTCTGCGGGATGGCAGTGGCTACTTCTCCCTGAGAAGGCACCTGGCACTGCAGCCCAGCATGTGTGCTGTGGTGCTCCCTGTGCAGTCATGGCAGCCTCACAGAGCTTGGGCACCGCCTGGAGCTTTGCCCCATGTGGTCCTCACCGCTCTATGGGTGCTTGCTTGCACCGCTGTGCATCCTGGTTCCCGCGCAGCTCCTCTCAGGGGAGCTGGAGACTTAGCAGCTGAGTTCTGTGAGTGCTTCAGCACCTCTTAGGTTTTGGTGTAAAACTTCCCCTGAAAGAGGTTGTTTGATGCCTTACTGTGCCAGGAGTAGAGCAGTGCAAGCTGGCAGGAAGGCCTTTGGGCTATCCGCAAGGGAGAAGTGTTTGTGCAGGGCAGACCCTTCGGGCTGGGATGCTGTCTGTGCATTGCTCCCATGTGCCCTTTATTCATCTGTTGCTTTGCTGGTTTGAAAAATGTAGTAAGTAATGTTTGGCTTTTAAAGAGCTTCTTCTTTTTTTTTTTTTTTTTGAGACAGGATCTTGCTATGCAGTTCAGGAGGGCCTTGATCTCACTTTGTAGTCCAGGCTGGTCTCAAACTTGCAGCAATTCTCCTGCCTCAGCCTCCTGAGTGCTGGGATTACAGGCATGCGCCACCATGCCCATCTTAAAGAGCTTCTTATATCAAGTTTAAAGTACTTGATTTCATCTTCTTTGTTCTGTGTACCATCTCAGAATGACACCAGTGCTAGCTGTGCCATATGTGGGTGTTCCCCTGTGGAAAACACAGTACAGTAACTTTTTCTTGTGTGTGGCATTGGGAATTGAACCCAAGGCCTTCACACAGAGCAGTATTTCCAGCCCTTTTTAATTTTGAGACAGGGTCTTGCTAAGTCACTAAACTTGCCACGATGTGAACTTGGAGTCCTCCTGCCTTAGCCTCCCAGAATGCTGGGATTATAGGCATATACCACCGTGCCTGTGAATTATTAACATCTGATAAGGTCAAGGGAAAGATAGCTTTAATTGTCATTCTATTTCTTATTTACAATTTTACCTGGTTTCTTTGGTGTAGATTCTTTCCTTCCATGAGTCACAAGATTCTGTAACGTGTTTCCTTTTTTCAGCATTTTTAGATGTAGTCAGTACAATTGTAGGGTGAGAATTTATCTTCTAATCCCATTTTAACAATTCATCTTTAAATTAGGAGAAAGTGTATTATCAATAAAATTTCTTTTTGGATGAGATAAAATATTAACAAACTTTAAAATGAGTTGCAACAAAAATTTAATTTTAAGATATTGCTGTGAATGAATTGACAGCACCCCATCTTTTCATGCTCCTGAGTGGGGTGCAGGGAGCCGGGTATGAGGTAAGGATCTGCGAGGTCGCAGACATCAGCAGCTCAGAGAGCCCGGTATTAGGGTTGGGAACAACTGAGTCTGTGTCTTGCAGAGCACCTTTCTTTTTTAAAATTTTATTATTGGTCCATGTTTGCAGTGTATGAACGCAGCTCTCCTGTGTGGCGTCGGTGCCTGTACACATCTTCACCCCTTTTCTCCTCTCCTTCCCTCCCTTCCCTCCAGCTCTTGGTCCCCTTCCCATGTGAGAACGATTTGTCTCTGCTTCCTATGATCTATCTTTTATTTTGCTCTTTACTTATAGTTTGGTTTTCCCCTATAAGAGAAACCATGGGATATTTAACTTTGTGTGTCTGATTCATTTCACTTCACAGTATGGTTTTAAGGTGCATTCATTTTCCTGCAAATGACTCAAGTGTGTTCTTTATGGCAGAGTAGTACTACCTTGTGTGTAAACATCACATTTTCTTTCTTTATTCATCTGTCAATGGGCAGAGTGTCATTTTACATCCTAAACCTCACCTCAAATAGCACACACAGGAGTTAGGGGCTGAGGATGATTCACACATCCATAGTTTCTGGAAAATCCCATTGGGGGGACAAAGAGAGAGAGAGACAGAGAGACAGAGACAGACGAAGACAGAGACGGAAAGAGAGAGGTGAACGGAGAGGAGAGAGGGGAGGAAGGAGAGCAGAAGGGGAGTGGAGGGGCAGGTTCTGAGGCGCAGGGGTCCTGAGGCCCCCAGGGGCCACACTCAGAACCACAGTGTGGACATCATGCTGTAGATGCCATGGAGCCTTCCTGTCCTCAAACAGGTGTGGTAAACTCGGGTCCACCCCTGCCCCGGCTGTCTATTTCCTTGTGACCTCAGTGCTGGCTTCTTTAGCCCTGTCACCCGGAAGGAAGGAACATGGCACCTTCATGATGCAGAAGGGCTGGTGACTCATGCATGAACTTCTCAGGTGGCAGTGTGCCACTTGGGCTCAGGGCAAGGCCTCACAAGGATGCAGCCATGCCAAAGCTGTCCAGGCATCTTGGAGTCTTGCTGCTGTGCTGCCCGCGGGACACCTGGCTCAGTGTAGGGATGGAGTTGCAGCGTCCTTGGCGGTGGGGACGGCGTGGCCCACATGCGTGCCTGACCTTGCTGCAGGTGGTGCATCGGGGATGTGTGCAGTCAGGGTACCAGGCTCCGGGCAGTGGGGTCAGTGTGACTGTCGGGGTTCAGCTGTCCATGGAACAAGGTGATTGCAGAGCTTTGTGGTATACAGATTGGGACATTGCCGCTTATGAAGCTTGTGCTGTTTCTTTGATTCTAAGGTTCACATTTTGGCACGTTTTAATAACACTGAAATGAGGATGTGTTTTTCAGTGAAAGATGCATTAGTTCAACTGATGGCTTTTTCTGTGTTTGTGAAAAATAAATAAATTTTCAATTTTGAAATGTTACCTTCGTGTTTGCTTCCTTTACTCTACAATTACCAATACTTTTTTCATGGGGAAGACAATTTATTTTACCTTTAATGGTTTCCATATTTTTCTTTTAAGAGAGACTATGTATATTTTCAGAAATTTGCATTTTTACATGAGTTGCTTTGTAGCATTGGAACATTAACATTGAACTCCGCTGATTAAATAGCTTAAGAAGAAGGCTTTCTTTTAAAATAAGTTTTGCTGATGTTCTTGACATTCAGTGTTTGATTCTGTTTGTAACAGGTTTATTTCCGAACAGTGGAACTTGTAGAAGAGCCCATAGAGGGGTCTCCGGGGCTGAGCTTCTACTTTAGAATCAACGGCTTCCCCATCTTCCTGAAAGGCTCCAACTGGATCCCAGCAGATGCGTTCCAGGAGAGGGTCACCCCTGATGTGTAAGCTACTGGCTTTCCTTTTTTGTTTCCCTGTGTACAACAGCCGCAGCAAGTGGAAGGGAACTCATTTTTGCCTGCTTTAGTCCCGGGAAAAGAAACTGAGAGGTGGCATAGGATTCTAGGTATCTTCAGGATGGACAGCATTTTGCAACCGGAAATTCCTTTCTCCCAGCTATAGTCTTACAGCCAGTCTCCTCAAGACCGCTGAAGCCATCCGGTGTTTAGAAAACTCTTACATATTTACTCTGGAGAAATAAGACAATGACAAAGTGACACTGTGGATTGTTAGATCTAGAAAAGAAAAGTTTATTAAGTCGAACCCTTTCCCCAGAATACCTTGAATATATTTTTAAAGTTTTCATTTTTATTAGATATGTTTACAGCATGTAATGATTACATTCATCATAGGGAATTGGTACAGTTTTGAGCATGGATTTGAGAGACAGAAATTCTTATTTATCTTCTTATATAAGACTTACCTTTTACCTTAATGAAAGAACTTAGTCTTGGGTAGGGACTAGGAGAGGAGGGTGAGGACAGGGAGTCCCAGGGCTACGCCAGGTGCTGTGTTGCGCCATCAAGGATTTGCAAGAGATGAGAGGTTTTAGCTGCTCCCGACTAAAAAAGACACCAGAAAACTGGCAAACGCTGCAAAATGGTGGATCCATTAATTTGCTTCCTGTAACGATATTTTAATTAACTATGTGTATGCCATGATACCATGTTCTACACCTTAAAAAATACAATAAAACCTCTTTTAAAATAAAACCAAAGTAAGTCTTCAAATATTTTAGATCTATAAAAAACTAGAAGTGTTTTTCTGAGGTCTTGAGAATAGACCTTTAGAAGAAAATATTTCCTAATTGGTTTAACTCATTTACAAAAATGTGTATATGCAATGTATATTATTTGGTGTTTAAAATGGAAGTTGTTTAGTTACTAAATCCTAATTTGGCTAAAACCTGTAGGAATTCCTTTTTTTTAAATGTATCTATTATTTTAGATTTAATAAGAAAATGAAATTCTCAGCTGGGCATGGTGGTGCATGCTTATAGTCTCAGCACTCTGGGAGGCTGAGGCAGGAGGATTGCATGTCATTGGCTTCATAACACCCAGACTCAGAAAATAAAAAAAGGCTTTGATTTTGTCTTATTGATTGAAATGGTTCTATAAAATGAGCCTGCCTTCCGGGGTTTACACAGCATCTCTTCATAGGAATAAATTATCAAAAAATAGTTTTAAAAGCAGTGTACCATTGCTAAAAACTTAGAAAAAAAGTATCATCCATAATGTTTCACTTTGTTTCCTTTATGGGATAAATGTGATGTGTATACTGTCTTACCCCCACTTTCTTTCATTACCAGTATATACAAATCATAATTTTTCAAGAGTGTGCTTCTGACAGATTGGAAATGTTTTAGAAATTTTCCTTAATATCGCGAAATGTCTGAACAGACGTTGTTTTGCCGGTTTCTTCTCAGGCTGCGGCTCCTTCTGCAGTCAGCCGTGGACGCAAACATGAATGCATTGAGGGTGTGGGGGGGTGGCATCTATGAGCAGGACGCCTTCTATGAGCTCTGCGACGAGCTGGGGATCATGGTGAGTCCTGGGGTGAGTGGCAGTGGTACTGAGAAGATATGGTAACCCGTGTCTTCTCAATGGGACGTGTGACACGTCGTAAACCCAGTGCCTTAGCTGGTAACAGGTATCAGAGTTGTCTCATTATTTCAGAATGGAAGCCATTGTACTTAATGGTCCTAAGTTTCTCTGCCTACACTTTCTTTGTGATAGGTGGGTGTGCATGAGAGAAAATAAAGTATTAAAACAGTGTAACTGGAAGGAGCTCTGACCCTCCAGAGTGAGGCTGCTAAAATCAGTAAGGGAAGGGCACGCTCGGCACCATTCCCGATGTGCCATTGCCACGTCCTGCACAGGGGAGGACTGAGAGGGCACATCCTCGCTCCATGTCTGTGGGCCTGGGTCCTAGCGTTCCCTGGACACCGCAGACCCTGCATGTGGTGTGGTGGAGAGGTCGCATCCAACCCACATCAGTCACTGTCCTAGCACTTCACCAACTCCAGGCTGTGTTGCTCATGTCTGTGGTGACTGAGTGTTGTGTCCAGCGTTGTATGGTTTAGGGAACAGCAATGGGGAAAGTATCTGTTGGTGTTCTGGAGAGGTGTGATTTCTGTTTTTTTTTTTGTTTTGTTTTTTGTTTTTTAACATTTCTGATCCACGGTTGGATTCAAGGATGCACAGAGCAAGGATATGGAGGGCAGTGGGCGTGGTTCCGTGCTGACCTCACAGTTACAGGACTGCGCACAGCACTGAGGACAGCAGGGCTTAGTGATGACCATGACCTGCTGACTGGTGCGAGTATTTGTACGGCTTTGCTCCAACAGCTCTGCTCTTACTGCATTTATTTTATTATCTTCACACTTTCCAAGGAAGGGTCACTGTTGCCCTTCGTCCGAGTTTTCAGATGGGGAAGATGACACACTGTGGCGTCAGAAACCTCAACAGAGCCCAGTCTCCGCAGTTTGTAGAGAAGGCTCCGGGGAAGCGGCTGCTTGGGGCTGTGACTTTAAATCTTTGTGCACAGCCTCCCAGGAGGGGCTTTGTGGTTTCATTGCTGACGTGGACTTCTAGCAGAAAGTCAGCTCCTCTGTAAACCAAGTATCATGCCGTTGTGGCAGCACACACTTAGAATCCCAGCTCCTTGGGAGGCTGAAGCAGGAGGGATCAAAAGTTTGAGGCCATCCTGGGCAACTTAGTTACCTAGTGAGACCTTGTCACATACACATAACAAGGACAAGTAATGTGTTGATTTTATCACTCTTGGGCATCTCCCACAACCAAATGGGAGGTGAAAGTTAGAATTAGAAATGTGGAAGCTTGGGGAAGCTTCATTTCATGATTTCCCTTTTGATTTCTAATCTCGTTTTTGCTCAGCTGTCTGCCACTTGCATGGCCCTGGGGCAGTGTGAGGTCTGCGGCTGGTGCCCCTCTCCTCTGAGCTGTTTCCTGGGTGTGAGGGACGACGTCTCCCTGTGCAGGACAGAGAATCTCTCTGTGTGCTGAGACTCACTGTGCACTCTGCTGCCCTGTGTTTCTTTTCCAGGTGTGGCAGGACTTTATGTTTGCCTCTGCCCTGTACCCAGCTGACCAGCACTTCCTGGATTCTGTGAGGGCAGAAGTTGCCTACCAGGTGGGTTGTTGCCACTCTGAGATGTGCATGTTTCATTTTGCCTCTTGTTAAGTGCCTTCCCATTTCCTCTTAATTGTCTTCCCTTTCCTTCTTCTTGTTCTGTACCACATGCCAACAAAAAATCACTCACTGATTTTAATACTCCGTGCCTGCTGACACCCCGAGACCTGAGTCCTGTTCTTGGTTCTGCACTGAGCTTCTGTCCCCGCACCTAGCTCACTGCTCTGCACCGGGCTCCTCACCCTCAACCTTGCCCCTGTAGCAGTCCCCACCTCGGTGACTATGTAGTCTTTGGATTGCTTGGGACAGAAACTGAAAATGATTCTCAGCCCTGTGATTTCTTTTGTGTTCCATGTGTGTACACTTACATTTATACACACGTAAATGCAAGGCCTGGCAGTCTGCTGTCTCTGACTACAGAAGTCCTGGACACAATGTAAAGTACCAAGTATCTTTGTGTAGAAATGGTCTTTCCTGTTAAGACAAAGGCATTTCCTGGATCCCATGGCCTTTCTGTTGGGCCCAGCTCTGTGGAGGGTAGAGCTCACGAGCTGGGCAGCCTGTGCCACAGAATGAGACTGTGTCTCTGGAGAAAAATGATCTCTGCTTTGGATTGGGGGTATGACTTAGTGGTAGAGAGGGCCCCTGGGCCAGCTGCCACTACTGAAAAGCAAATTGCTTTGGGCTGGGGTATAGCTCAGTGTTGGAGCACTTGCCTAGCATGCTCACGGCCCTGGCTTCAATCTCCAGCACTGCACAAAATGAGAGTGGGAGTGGGGAGAAAATGGAGAGGGGCTTCCTAGAGAATCAGAGAATTCAAGGTTCGGAACATCTTTGTTGATAGTTGTGGTGCTTGCTACGATAACAACAGCAGATGGTTTCGGCCACAGAATAGGTTTGGGAGCAAGTGCTGAATGCCCTTAGTGCAGCAGCAAGGTGTGTGTAGGGGGCGGTGCTGTGAAACTCAGGTTGCATTCTGTTCCTCCCTGCATCTTCACATGTGGTGAGGGTTTCCATGGAGAGGCAGCCTGGCCCCCGAGCCTGATCATAGCAGTCTCCATGGTTGTGAGTGTTGTCAGATGTGAGCGAAGTACTCCAAGCCGTCCCCTGCAGTGCTAAGTTCTCTAAGCTGTCTCTTGTAGTGCAGAGTTAAGTACTCCGAGCCGTCCTCCGAGTGCCTTTCCCTGTGGGAAGTGGTCCCTGCCTGCCTCTCTGGCTTTTCCGTCACCTCTTCCCTCTTGTCCCAGGCCCTGGACACCATCTCATCATCTTTCTGGGACCACTCACTGGCCTGAGCACCGCTTTCGCAGGAGCCCTTTCAGCACCTGTGGGTCTAGACCAGGCCCTTCACCTGACCTTGGTGATACGCAGCATGCTTGCCGGTTCTGAGTCAAGTTCTGTCCTGGGAGAGTGCATGTCCCTGAGGCCCAGAGCCTCCCCTCTGTGCCTTGTCCCTGGCCAGCTTCGCCATCAAGTGGGCAGATGGAAGGAGGGACGGATGGTGGAGAGCTTGCAGGGGTCATAGTAACACACGTTATGAGGCAGGGTTCTTCTGATTCTTTCGCATGCTTCTGGGGAGAGGAAGAAGTGTTACAGGCGGTTAGCTGTCATTTGTGATGCGCCCGACCATGGTGTGGTCTGCTCACATCGTGTGTGGCACAGGGTCCCCGGGGCTTTTTGCCTCCTCAGGGTATCATCCGTGTGGTCACCCGCCTCCTGAGCATACTGACAGAGGGGCTGTCACACTCTTGGCTGTGTTAAAGGCAGTGAAAGGGAAGCACTGGACTGTTCGTAGGGCTGCTTAGAAAACGCAACACTTTAGTTTTTAAAAACATGAAACATGCTGCATGCCCCGGAAGTGATCTGGCTGGAGGTGATGCAGACTGGTGCTCTCAGCAAGAGCCCAAAGATTAGATTGTAAAAAAAAGAAAATAGGAGCCATGCTTTTTCAAAGATCTGTGTTACAAGTGCTTCGTTGGTTTGTAAGACACAAGTCTGAAGTAGCCAGCAGTTTGATTCTTGAAAGATCACTGAATTGAATGCAGCTGCTTGGGCAAGTGGGTCAGGAAGCTGTTAGGAGACAGGTGGAAGGAAAAAAATCTGGTCACCATCTTTTCTCCAGCAACAATGAGATGTGTGACCAGGGGGCAGTGAAGCACATCAAATGGGTGATGTCGGTCAAAAGACGACATGGCACTGCATGTCGGTGTTTCAGCCGAGTCTTAGAGACACAGCTATCAGTATGTGAACAAGAGGTTTCAAATTTTCGAGGAAGGGAAGTAGACTGTGGTGAACATATGGATTAAAAAAATGCGAGGCAAAGAGCAACAACAAGAGAAAAGGAACAAATGGGCAATTCTTTGGCCGTGGTTTGGTACGGTCTCATTTCCAAATCATGTGTGGTCTTTTTAGTTTTAAGGACAAAAAATTTTTTTTTTTTTTTTTTTTTTGGTTTTTCTCTGGTACTGGGAAACGAACTCACGACCTTGCACTTGCCAGGCAGGCGCTTTTGCCGCTGAGCTAAATCCCCAGCCCCTTAAGGACAAAAATTAAAATGATATTTTATAAAATGATTTTATAAAACATGAAACATGCCTTTATTTCTTTTTTTTTTTTTTTTTTTACCAGATTTTCACTTCTCTTGGTACACGTTTGCAGTGCATATGGATCACATTCCTCTCATGGAGTGGGTGCACACACACAGCATCCTTCCTTTCCTCCTCTCCTTCTCCCCTCCCTACCCCTTCTCCATTGCTTGATCCTCTTTCATTTTGCAAAAGATCTTTCTCCTTGTTTCCAATTATCCATCTTTTATTTTGGTCTTTTTTTTAACATAAGAAAAACCATATAGTTTTTAAGCTTTTGTGCCTGATTTATTTCGTGTAACATTATGGTCTTGTGGTGCATCCATTTTTACAAATGGCTCAGGTTTATTCTTCTTCATGGCAGAGTAGTGCTCTATGGTGTGTAAATACCATATTTTCTTTATCCACTTATTTGATGATACACATATAGGTCACTTCCAAGAGTTAGCTATTGCGAATTGTGCTTCTCTAAACATGGGTGTGCATGGATCACTGTGGTATGATGCTTTTAACTCTTTTTGGAAGATACCCAGAAGGGAATAGCTGGGTTGAATAGAACTTCTAGTTTTAGTTGTTTGGGGAATCTGCATGTTGATTTCCATAATGGTTGTACTAGTTTACATTCCCACCAGCAGTGTAGAAGGGCTCTTTTCTTCCTACATCTGCACCAGCATTTATTATTTGATTTTTTGATGATGGCCATTCTTTCTGGAATCTCAGTGTTGTTTTAATTTGTATTCCTCTAGTGGCTGGTGATGTTGAACACTTTTTCAAGTATTGATGGAGTGTTTGTACTTCTCTGTGAAGTGTCTGTTCATTTCACTTGCCCATTTTTTGGGATGTGTCTAATTTTTTGAGTTCTTTCTGGAGTCCTCTGTCTAAGGAGCTGCTGGTAATTTTCCCCCTTCCTTTCAGTTCTGCCAGTTGTTTCCTTTGCTGTGCAGAAGTTTTCAAGTTTGCTGTGATCCTGTGGAAACAGCTCTCTGTAATGTGCCCCCAGTGCCCTGATGGGTGTTGCTGAGCTTTTTAGCTGCACACCGTAACTGTCCACTGTGGTGACACAGAGGCTGTAAATAACGATGAAGTCACAGTGCTGGCATGTGTCCCTGAAGAGCGCTCCTGGCCATTGACTCACCCAGTCATTGTCGTCCATCATTGCCCTCCTGCTGGGCACATTCAGGGCGTCAACAGATGGCGTGTGCTGCTGTCTTTCCTTGTCCAGGCTGGCAGGGCTTTTGGAACAGTGCCTGTTGGGCACAGTCAGTGGCTTCTGACCTGGGGAGCTGTTTCAGGGTGTGGCCTCCCAACTGTCTGTCACTTCAAGAGACCCTCACATATTCACTCACTTTCTAAAACTTTCTCTAGTTCTTCTCCTACTTTACTTTACTTCTGTATTTTTAGAACATGTATTTCATTGTACAGATTTATGGTGACCAGTGTGATAATTGGGTACAGGTGTGCAGTGGTCACACCAGTGTAGTTGACATTATCATCCCCTTAAGTGGTTCAACCATTCCAAGTAGCTCTGCATCCTTGGGGCTGACAGTGTGAGCAGAGCTCGCTGTCCCAGGCTGCAAACTCACCCTGGTGGCCATAGTTGCGAGGGACACCATGGGGACTTGGTCCTTTCGTGAGTCTTGGGACAGGTGGGTGGGTGCTGATGGCATCTGGCGGGGCCCTGACAGCCCCAGATGGTGGGACACATAGAGACAGGGTCGCCCTCTGGAAGCCTTGGACCAAGTTCGCATTGCGCCTGTCAGCAGCGACAGCCTTATCCCCTCTCCAAAGTGCTCGTCCCCCTGACGGGGTCAGGTCCATTTTCATATTAGGTTTTTGGTTAAGTAAAAAATAAAATAAGTGCTGGGGATATAGCTCAGTGGCACAAGTGCCTGCCTGGTAAGTGCAAGATCCTGAGTTTGATTCTTCGTACCAAAAAAAAAAAAAATTATTGTACATATTTATGGGGTGCAGCATGATATCCCAGTTTAGGCCCACAGTATATTGTGATTGACTCTGCACCTTTGCTTTGTGTTTGGAGACTTCACTGCCCTCCCGGGTTATTGGGAAAAACTGGAGTTCCCTGTCTGGGGGTGCCGTCTGCTCCATGCCACTCCCTCCGCAGAACTCACCCCTGCCTTCTGTGTCCCCTGGCAATCTGAAAACGACAGGTGGGTTTCTTTCCCTTTTTAATGAGAGTATGTTTTCTTTCATTTTTATACAGCAGGGAAAAGGAACTCACCTTATCAGTGTCTATTAAGTCTGAATTAAAAGAACCTCAGAGAATTCTTCCAAGCTGTCCCACCACTGACACAACTAGCCCATTTCTAATGAGTGTGTGTTCTGAAATGCAGGGGCTCTAATTTTGTAGATAAATGTGCTCTGAGTGTGTTTTTATAGGTTGTTGTGTTTTCCTGAATTCCAGGTCAGGAGACTGAAACCCCATCCGTCTGTCATTCTCTGGAGTGGCAATAATGAGAATGAGGGACTGCTGGCCACGAACTGGTTCCAAGTCCCCCTCAGGGACCTGGGCACCTACATCAAGGACTATGTGACACTCTATGTGGCCAACATCAGGGAGGTCGTCTTCGCAGTAAGTAGCGGTTTTTAATGCAGGAGAGTTTGGGAAATGTGTTTTTCCAATGGAAAAGTTTGGATATTGGCAGGAATGTTTTATGCACCTTTATGGCGAGGTCTTCAACAGGATCAGCTCGACACAAGTGTGTCCCTGTCCTGCTGAGGCAGCTGGAGGAATCCTGGGCTGTGTGGACACCTGTGATGATAACATGGTCTGAGGAGCTCTCCACAAACATCCAGTGCTTTGGAGTGTATCCGCAGGCCTCCAAATGTCAAATCGCCAGATTCAGTGGTTTACTGAGGTGCTGCCTGTACAATCCTGTGCCCATGAATGCTAATGAGGATTGGTGTCTGTCATACATGAATGTATTGGCATGTGACTAAGGGGCCTTTATTACCAAAGGATTAGGGGAGAGTGTGATCTCCTTCTCTACAAGGAAATCTATCATAACCAAGAACTCCCAAGTTACTGAGAATATATGATATGCCAGGTAGTGCTACATTAATTACACTTTATTAATTAATATTAGATACAGACTGGTACCATGATTCATGGTATGCATTTGCTTGTGAACAATTTGGTTTACACCCAAGCATTTGGCACAGTTTTGGTTTTGTTTTCTTTTTTTTTATTATTATTTTAAAGAGTAAAAGAAGGATAACATAGCAATAGGGGGTCTTACAGAATTACAGACAAAGTGGTAGGAAATTATCAATGGTTGTTGTTTTACATATTGTTATCTACAAGATAGTTTCTCAGGAAAACAAATAGACAAATAATAGTGGGTTACAGACAAAAGTGGTAGGTTATTATCAATGGTTGTTGTACTATACTTTGGTATCTTCAAAGTGGTTTCTAAAGAAAATAAATAGAGCTATACATGAGTGACCAGTTGAATAGTCATTGACTATTCTCAATGGTTGTTGTAGGAAACACATAGTAATAAACATGCATCCATTTAGGAAATAGCATAGGAACAATACAAACATTACAGAATTATGGACAGATTAGTAGGAAAATATCAATGGCTACTATAATACATGGTGGTATCTTCAAAGTGGTTTCTCAGGAAGACAGAGATATGCAAGAAAGATCTAACAAGTAGATACAGCCTAATGGTTGTGAAAAATAGTGTATTACCTCTTCACCAGTGACTCCTTTCACTGAGGTGTGATGGCTGGAAGGAAGGCCAGGACTGAAAAGAAGGACCGAGAGACTTGCACCTGTGTCTAGCAACAGGCCATTTTCTTTTTCCTCTGTAGTCTTGATTACCCAGGGCTCTTCCATGGAGAAGACAGTCTGGCCAGACGGAGAAGGCAGAGTATGCCCCGGGCCTCCTCATTCCTGTTGGACTAATTGGTAGGATGGGTCTGAGCTCTGGGACCTCCACTTCAGAGGGCAGACTGATCTCCAGTGGTCACCTTTGCATTCAGGGCATGGCCCATGGGGCCTCTTAGGGCAGTCCCTCTTGAGGTGGCCTGGCTTTTAACAGTGGTAGCAGATGAATGCAGTCATCGAGTTCTTCTTGGGGCCCTGATAATCAGACTTAGGATCTGTTTCTCTTAGTCCTGCAGCAAAAGCAGCTGCTTTTTCTCGGTCTCTTTGTTTTCTCTCCTTGGCCTCCTCCTCCTCATGGCTGTAGAATACTGAGGAGGCAATTCTTACTAACATCTCAAGTGAGCCATCTGGGGTGAAAGCCATTTTTTGTAGCTTTTTCTCTCCAGCCTCACATCGCTTTTGGAACCCTGCAACCACTTAGTGTGGTTTTGTTTTTCATATATTTGCATCAGGTGACAAATGCAGCCACAGCCATCTTTCCTTCATGGCCATCTTTTCTAGAATTGTGGAATGAATTAAGTTTGTGTACTGAGGTACCACCATAAATATATTAATTTTATGTGTGCTTTATGTAATTTATTTAATTTTAGAACTACCCTAAGGTGCAGATAATTTTGTGTTGTCTCTGTTTCAAAGATGAAGGCAGGGGCCTAGGGAGATGGAGTCTCAAGGTTGCAGAGGGCACAGGTGGTGGAGTCCAGTAGTGCAGGAGTGGACATAGGGTAATGGAAACAGTGTTTGCCTGGAGAGCTGGCACTGTTCAGAATGATGCAGTGAAGGGCAAGGTGAGGCTGTTCCTGCTCGGGTACTGGTGACCAACACAGGCAAATACTGGAGCACTGGTGCAGTTGGGATCCTGCATGAGGACCCTACTTGGAAAGGCTGGCATCAGCGGTGGCCAGAGGGTGTGGGTAGATGTGCAGAGCTGCTGTGACTCACCATGACTTCATGAGTGGAAGTTGGTGGGTGGTGTGATGAGCACTTGGGCGGCCAATTGGGAGTGTTCAGCACCTGCAGCTTGCCTGGTGCCTGGTGCCTGGTACGTGGTGCCTTGTGCCTGGAGCCTGTGCTGCACTCCACATACTCATTGCGTAGCTCAGGTCAGCTACACTGGGGTCAGGCTACACTTAGGCAGGGGCTGTCCAGGGTGACTGTTGAGGACCCAAAACAACTGCACCTGGCACAGTTACTAGATACAGGAGCTCAGCAGGGCTGCGGGGCCTCTTCCTCTCCCATGCCCTGGATGGACATGGGGATACCTGACAGACACTTGTGAAGGGGAGATCCTCTCTGAGAGAGAGGGAGTATTGCTGGTGACAGCAGTGGTGATAGTAGCATCCTGAGTTCCGCCTGAGCTGTGGGTGCTGTGCTAGGTCCTTCAGCCCACTCAGCACTTGGTAGCTTATGTCACACACAAGTGTTGCCTCTTCTCAGATGATGTCCATGGATTCCTCTCCATGGACTCCTCTCCATGGATTGCCATGTGCGCAGATGCTGTCCTCTGGGAGACAGACAGGCCCGACACCGCCCTGCATCATGGAAGTGGGACCTACTGTCAGTTCTTATTGGAGTTGTTCAGTGCTCAAGGTCCCAGCATGAGCAATGTGCTGAACTTGTCCTCATTCACAGAGGAGATGCTGAGGTGCAGATCATCCCCAAATCACTAGGGACTTAAACTCGGGTGCTTTGGACCTCTCAGCTTCTATTCTTAACCTAGTACCCCCAGGCAGAGGTGATCTACCCTAGAGGGTGCTTGGCAATGTTGTAGACAGTTTTGGGGTAGGGACACTGGCATCAGGTGAGTGGAGAACGGAGATGTTGCTAGGTACAGTGTGTGCCCTTAGACTCAGCATCCAGCCCTAAATATTGGTGGTGCTGAAGATGGGGAACTGCACTAGACTATCTGTGGGCTGATTAGAATGTGTAGTGAATGTTTAAGTGAAAAAAATTACAGTCAAAGTATTACAGTATTACAGTCAAAGAACAGAGGGCTATTACCTTCCCTAGAGTATGCAAAATCCTCCCTCCACTTTGAACACACTTATCCCATCATTCTTTTTTTTTTTTTTTTTTTTTGAGGCAGAGTCTTGCTATGCAGTTCAGGCTGCCCTTGAGCTCACTTTGTAGCCCAGGTTGGTCTGGAACTCCCAACAATCCTTCTGCCTCAGTCTCCTGAGTGCTGGGATTACAAGCATGTGCCACCATGGCTGTGCTTTTACAGTGATTAGTTTTTTAAACTAGATACTGTGTTTGTCACTCACGCTTCTACCCACCCTGGGATGGAGGAGTGGAAAGGAACTTGATGGAGAGGTCAGAGCCGCCAGCACCGATCTCACAAGGACCCAGGGTGGGTGGAAAGAGGGTTGGCCTTGAGAATGGTGAAGGTGAGCTACTTGGGATTTCTGGGACTTGGAGCATTTTTAAAGAAGTAAGTGGCCTGTGCTTTGTTGAATGAAAATATGACCCTTAAAAATCACTGTGTTTCTGCCCTCAGGGAGACAAGACCCGTCCTTTTGTGCCATCCAGTCCTTCAAATGGTATTGAAACTGTGGCAGAAGGGTGGATCTCGAGGGACCATAATAGCAACTATTACGGCGATGTGCATTTTTATGACTATTACAATGATTGCTGGAATTGGAACGTTTTCCCCAAAGCCCGATTTGTGTCTGAATATGGCTATCAGTCCTGGTCTTCCTTCAGTACATTAGAAAAGGTAAACCTTCATTCATTTGACTAAATCTTCATTCATTTGACTTTCCAGTGTTTTGGAATGGTGGACTGTGGGTGTATGCTGCTTCTGAACAGTGATTCAGGAAGCTAGGTAAAATCTGCTCTTTTTGGGTGGAGGATACTGGAAAGTAAGCCCAGGGCCTTCTCACTGAGCTGCATCCCCAGCTCCTTTTTTTTTTTTTTTTTTGCGGTACCCGGGATTGAACTCACGACCTTGGGCTTGCCAGACAGGCCCAGCCCCTTTTGAATTTTGATGCATGGTCTTGCTCAGTTGCTCAGGCTGGAACTTTCGATCCTCCTGCCTCAACCTCCCAGAGTGCTAGGATTATAGGTGTGCATCACCACACCCACCTTTCTCTTCTTATTTAAATGACAGTTTAGGAAGAGGATGGAAGAACAATTTTTTTTCTTTCACCTTTGGGGAGCTAAGCTCTTGTGATCGTCATCTTGGGGACTGTAACTTTTCTGTATTGCTTTTAGTTATGTTCCTTTAGTAACATTTACAAGTTAAATGGGAGATAGTGGTTGTTTAATCTGAATTATTGTTGCACATAAAAATAAATCTTACTTGCTACTTTCTGGATCTCCCACAACTATTTTAGCATGGATAGATGTTCCAGACTGTTTCATTACAGGGAGAGAGGAGGATGTGATAACCTTTTCTTGTCCTCCTCCTCCTCCCATTTCCTCCTAATTCTGTCCCTCCTTTTTCTTCCTATTGGTATATTTGGTCTTCTGTGTGGATTTCCACTCCATTCCTGAAGATTCAGTTTCAGAGATGTGTGTGTTCATTTGAAAACAGCTTTATAGAAACAATTCACTTACTGTAAAGTTTATATACATGTTGTGTTCAATTCAGTAGCCTGCAGTGTGTTCCTGGAGCTATGCAGCCATTACACAGTCCAACTGTAGATTTCCGGTCATTCAGAAGATTCCCTGACCCATTAGCAGCTGCTCTCTTCTGCCCTGTCCTCCCACCCAGGCCCTGGGTTCCACTGACCCTCTGTTGATGCCAATAGACTTCCTGTTCCCATGGTCCATGTGATCAGAACCATACAGCCTGAGTCTTGAGAGTGGCTTCTTTGACTTTGCATCGTGTGTTCAAGGTTCATCTGTGTTGTACTCTGTGTTCATGTGTCATCCCTCTTGATTGTTGAATAATGCTCTGTTGTGTGTGTTTTCCACATTTCCTGCATCATGGGTCTGTAAGTGGATATTTGTGCACATGCTGTGTGAATGTGTGTGTGCATTGCTTGTGTGAGCGTGTTTTTAGTTGCACAGGTCTCACCCCTGAGCGGAATTGCTGTGTCATGTGCTAACTACGTTGAGTATGAAAAACTAACTTCTTGTTTCCATGGTGATAGTGCCAGTTTGTACCATAATGCTGCCAACAGTAGTCATTTTCCATTTTTGAAGCATTTCCCTGGAGATATGCATTTGTGGAAAGTTTGCATTTTCTTGATGGCTGAGTATGTTGAGTACCTTTCATGTGCTTGTTGGCCATTTGTCTTCCTTTGAGAAATGTGTGCTCAAGTCATTTGCCCATTTTTTGAGTTGTCATTTTATTTATTTATTTTTGGTACCAGGAATCAAACTCATGACTTTGTGCATGCCAGACAGGTGCTGTGCCACTGAACTATATCCCTAGCCTGAGTTGTCATGTTATTGTTGAGTTATGAAGGTTTTTAAAAAATGTACTCTAGAATTTTAAAAATCAGATGTGTAGTTTGCAGATATTTTCTCTCAGTTCATGGGTTATCATTTTATCAACTTGATGGTATCATTAAAAACATGAAAGTTTTAATTTTGACAAAGTTCTACCTCGCAGTCTCTTGAGCTTTTGGTCTTGACTCTAAGAGATCCTGGACTAATCCCGATAACTTTTTTTTTTTTTTTTTTTTTTGTTTTTTGTTTTTTTCCAGTACTGGGAACCGAACTCACGACCTTGCACTTGCCAGGCAGGTGCTAAACGTTTACTCTTGTGCTGTCTTCTAGGAATGTTTTGCGTTAGCTCTGGCACGTGTGACTCTTTTTATTTTTTCCATGTGGCATTAATGTGTGTCTAGATCCACTCTTGTGTCTGTGGGTGGCCAGTTGTTCTGATTCCATTTAACAGTACCTGGCTTAAAAACAAAAGTGATCAGAGTGTCATTTAGTTTATATCCTCGACTACATCAATAGTAAGTGTATTTATCAGCCTTGTTTAGCAATCACTGAGAAGCAAGTAATATGTGCAAACTCTCAAATATCTGCTGTGGTCGTAGTAGTATTTTATTCCTATTTCAAAATAATACTAAATAGACAAGAGGGTATTGTAAAATGCATATAATGAATGTGTTTTGAGAAGACAAAGCTTTTGAGAGGAGAAACGAGGTGTAACTTTCTCGGTATGAGCAAGGGAGGGAGAAGGTACCAGGCTCTGAGCAGTAACAAGTGTGACAGCAAGAATGTCTGTGACATTATCACCACTTAGGATCCGCAGGCTCTTCCCCAGGGTATAGAGTACTTTCTGGGTTTGTCAAGAACTTCTGGAGAAGTAGCTTCACTGCCAACTTCCCTGTCCTGACTCTTCACCTTTACTTGGAAGGTCTCAGTGAAGGAAGACTGGTCTTACAACAGCACGTTCGCCTATCATCGACAGCACCATCTGCATGGCAACGAGAAGATGGTTCACCAGGCTGCACTGCATTTCAAGCTCCCGCAAGGCCCAGACCCTGTCCGCACCTTCAGAGACATGCTCTACCTGACTCAGGTGGGTCCGTCATCGGGGTGAGGCTCCTGCAGTGACACGAGAGGTCACGAGGACTTTGAGGGCTGATGTCCTACAAAGCAGGTTTTTTATTCTGCTGATTTTAAGGGGTTTGTTTCCTTCACTGTAATATGCTAATGTGTAAGATTTGAAATGGTTCATTTTTGGCATTCGTTTCCCTCCTAAGAACTGCTTATGAAATTCTAAATTGCTCATGAAAATGTTCCCTGGTTCAGTGTTATTAGAGAGGTTCAGTCATTAAGATTTCTCAAGGGTAAAGCACAACGGAACACAGGAGGGTGCAGAGATAGACTCGTGCATGATCTGGTCACCTGATTTACTGCCATTTGCCTCTGTAATTCAGGGGGAGAAGGAAAGTTTTATCAATGAACAGTGCTGTGTGAAATGGATACTTCCATGGGACAATAAGTGAACCTTGACTCTATGTATAGAAATGAATTTGATTACTGATGAGAGATTCAAATATGGGAGTTCAATGCAGAGGTACAGCACATGCTTAGTATGCCGAGGCCCGGCACCCAAGATAAATAAAGTAAAATAAATATGTAAGGCTCAAATGTGAAAGGTGCTTCAGTAAAGCACCAAGGGAAAACACAGGAGCACACCTTCATCACTTTGGGATAGCTGAAGAGTTCTTCAGACAGGCAAAGCACTGGCCATAGAAGAAAATATTGATAAATTGTACTTTGCTAAAATTATGGGTACTGAGATGTAGCTCAGTGGTAGAGTACTTGCCTAACATGTTTGAGGCCCTGGCTCTGTTCCTGGAACCACCAAAACCAAACAGAAATGTGGACTTCTATACATCAAAAACATCACTAAGAAAGAGAAAAGGCAAGCCACAGGTTGGGGACCAATAGTTGCAATTCCTGTATCATTTTATTTTATTTTACTTTACTGTACTGTACCTTACCATATTGTATTGTGTTGTATTGTGTTGTGTTGTATTGTATTGTATTGTACTACATTTTTGGTGGTGCTGGGGATCAAATGCAGAGTCTGTGCTTGCTAAGCCAGAAGTCTACTACTACTGAGCTATGCCCCAGCTGCAGCTCATCTTTCTGATAAAAAATATGCAGAATGAAGAAATTCTGCAAGACAGACAGATAAGTCAGAAAGCCTATTAAAAATGGACAGAAATCTTGCATAGGCATTTCACTAAAAAGATACCCAAATGGTCAATAAATAATGAAAACATGCTCACTTTTATTCTTAACCAAAGAAATGCAAGTTAAAGCTCTCCCTGCTCACCCTGCAGCAGAAAAGGACTGACCATGCCACTGCTGGTGAGGAGGAGACAACTGGGACTTTCAGGTCCGTTGGTAGGAACACACGTTTGTTTAATCACTTTGAAAAAGCTTACGGCAGTTTCTATCAAAGCTTTCCTCTTGAATGAGCATTTCTACATCCAGCTACGTACCTAGGAAAAACAGGTGCCTGTCCACCGAGAGACGTCTTCCATACTGTTCAGGAAGCAGTGTTTATAGAAGGCCCAAACTAGAAATATAAATTTCCATAAATGGGAAAATTTACTAATAGGTGATAGTGTTTTTGCAGAGTGGAATACTACCAGTGATAAAAAGAACAAATACTCACAACACTGTCAACCTGGGTGAGTCCCACAGGTGTGTTGAGTGAAACAAGCCAGACATAAAAAGGTGGATAGGTTCTGATGCCTTTCATGTTGGAATTCAGGTACAGAGAAAGCTAGTCAAGGTGATGGAAGGCAAACTGGTCCTAACCAGAGTGGTGAGCACTGCTTAGCAAGGGAACTCAAGGCTTTCTGCTTATGCCCTCATCTGTAGGTGGCTACACAGCCTTGTGCCTACCACAAGATTCTGCATGTTACAGTGTTTACCTTAGCAGGCTTTGTTTGTTTTTTTTTGACACAGGGTCTCACTGTGTAGCCCATGCTGGCCTCTACCCACTCTGTAGATCACACTGGCCTCAAACTCAAAATTCTCCTGCCTCAGCCTCCTGAGTGCTGAGATTACAGGTGTGTGCTGCCATGCCTGGCACAGATAGATTTTTAAACAGTTCTATAGAGCTATAATTGACATCTATAAATTTACTCATTTTAAATGTACAGTTACATGGTTTTTAGTGTATTCATGGAGTTGTACCTCTGCCCTCATGGTCTCCTTTTAGAATATGCCTGTTATCCCAGAAAGATTTTTGGTGCTCATAGAATCACCCTCTTCCCTGCCTCTAGCCCAGGGAAACATGTCTGCTCTCTGTCTCTCTAGACTGGTTTTCCCAGCACTTCAGGTGGCTGGGGTCTGCAGCACGCGGGATCAGCGCCTAGTGTGTGACCAAGCAGCACGTTGCAGCTTTACGCTGTGTTGTTTCCTGTTCTGTGCTGTGCTTACACACACCTGGTCTCTGATCAGCTGGTGCACATGCAGATTATTCCTGCCTCTGACTGTTGTGATGTGCCTACTTGCGTGAGTCTTCATGTGGATGTATGTTTTCTTTTTTGGGGTGTAGGAAATACATGAGTGGCACTGCTGAGTGATATAGCAAAAATGTGCTTCGCTTTTTTTTTTAATGCCTCACTTTTTAAGTTAAACTGACTGAATTTTAGATATTTTCTTCTTAATATTTCCATTTTATTTGTTTTGTTTGCTTGTTTTCTGTGACTACACACACTCAAGATTACATGAAAGTCATTCCTTATTTACCCTGCAGTTTTGCTATTCTTATTTCAGGTTCTTAGAGATATGGTAAGAGCTGGATCCCGATCCTATCTGTTGATCTAAAGAGCAAAGTCTTTGTTAAACATGGTCACATTTTAATTTTTTCTAATCTAAACATACAGTTTTCGCCCAAATTCATGCTCATCAGTTTTCTCCTGTGTGAAAATGCAAACACGTGGGCAGAAGCTGGAGCAGAAATCTATGAGCTGCCTTTTAGAAGGTGATCCAAGGATAAAGAGAAGTTTAACATCATAGCAGTGGTGTCCTAAATTAAGGGAGTGTCTTTGTTATTTTTTGATTGCTGGGACACAGTTCTTGACACCCAAAGTCAAAAGAGGAGAGGTTTATTTTGGCTTATAGTTTGTAGAGATTCCAGCCCATAGTTAGCTGGCTGCAAGGCAGGGGTGGAATTGCAGAGGAGAAACAGTTCATTGCAGGGCAGTGGGAAGCAGAGAGAGATCAAGGGAGGAGGAGGAAAACTGACCCTTCCAGGCCACACCCCCAGTGACCACATCCTCCAACCAGGCTCCACCTCCCAATGTTACATTTAGCTATGAAGTCATCAGTGGGCCAATCTAGTGTGAGTATCACATCCCCATGGTCCAGTTGCCTCCCAAGCCACCCCTATGAGCACATGAGGCTTTGTGGGGGCATCTACATATAAATTGTCATGGGAGTTTTGCCAGGGTGACCTGCAGTTCAGAAGTTACCAGGCACAGAGTTAAAGGTGAGGCTGCTGCCTGTCCCTTCCTGAGTGTTACAGTTCATGTTTTAAGCTTTTCACAGTCAGTATTCTTGAAACTTTTGATTTATAAAATAGGTCAGTCCTTAGTCGTGTGTGTGTGTGTGTGTGTGTGTGTGAGAGAGAGAGAGAGAGAGAGAGAGAGAGAGAGAGAGAGAGAGAGAGACAGAGAGAGACAGAGAGAGACAGAGACAGAGAGAGACAGAGAGACAGAGAGAGACAGAGAGAGGACTTTTCAGCTGTTGTTTTTTCTGTTGTCCTCTCTCCTTCCAGCTGTTCATTTTATCACTGTTGCTTTATTCTCTTTCCTTAAGGACCTGACAGAAATAATTGTTCTTTTCCGAGCTTCTTAGCCTGCCAGCTGTGTGATGAGGAGTAGGCGTGCTGCAGACATTCTCTGTACAGGGTTGCTGATGACAGCTTTTGTCAGAGACGTGGCATGAATGTCCCCTCAGTACGAGTCTGGTCGGCTTATCCTGGGCCGTTTCTCACTTTTGCATTGGTGCTAATCCCACCAGGTGGGATCTGCAGTGAAAGAGTTTGGGACTATGGCTTTTTCACTTTTCCTGTTTAGTTCTGGGTTTCCTTGACTGAGTGCAGGCAGGAAGTGCTAGGATAAATGTTGTTTCCCTGTGACTATGGCATTACAGCCTCTATCTTGAATCTATGTCTGGGAATTAAGCTTCTCCTGTCCATCTCTCTGACCCCCTCCCACCTTGCCCCTTTCCTCATCTTCCCTCACAGCTCTGAGGAGCAGGGTGTTTGTCTGTGTGCCACTTTTAAAGGCTTCCTGATAGTTAACCTGATGGTGTGATCATCAGCAAAATCTTGCCTGAGAAGGCTGGAGGAGAGCTTCTTTCCATGCCCATCCTGTCCTGCCTTCTCTTGTCTGATAGCCACACGGAGGCTCTCTCTTCAGTCTTCCTACTCTTTCTGAACAGTCTCGCCTCACTTCCTGAATTATCTTGTCAGACTGTCCTCCAGAGCCTCTGCTCAGGCACACCTCCGTGTCTTCATCACGAGATTCTACTCCCTCTGTGGTGACTGTCTGATATACCTGTGAGCATGTGTGTGGTTTCTGTACCAGCCTGTTTCTTCCTAGTGACCAGCAAGGACGCTGGGTACACAGGAAGTTGGGTAGACAGGAAACTGGGTGGACAGGAAGCTGGCTGAAGCCAGTCTGTGCTGACCCTTAGCTTACAGCCCTGCTGGTACTTTCATTTCTCCCTCCCTTGTTTACTGAGCGCCCTGATTGGGGGTGGCCTGAAAAACTTATTCCTCAGGCCCGTTTTTTCTCCTTAGGCCACAGGTAACTCCATCAGCCAACTTCAGAAAGGAGTTGGGCTGTGGGTATGGGCAGGTGGCACCTGATGCTGGTCATGGCCACTGGTTCAGGAAGCAGCACTGGGATGTGATGAGAGAGTCAGGTTGTCTTGAGCCTTCATGCTGGGGTGGGGGGCGGGTAAAAGAGGAGCCACTCGCAGAGCACTTTAGGTGAAGGAGTGACTAATGACACAGGACAGTGCATAGTGGATTCCTCCATA